TTTTTTTTTTTTAAATAGACATGTGCCCACGAGTTTTGGGCAAATGTACTGTATATGATCTTGTTACAGAATGTATTTTATAAGGTCTTAAGTTAATAATCTAAGTTATTTGAGCAAAAACAAATCGTGAGTTGATCTGGTTCTTGGGTGGTTTTGATATTGAATGCTATCAGTAGCAAAATAAGTCTAAGCCTGAACAATCTCAGTTCTGTCTCAGAGAATTCTGTAAGAAAAAAGGTATTTTTTACCATAGATCAAAATGAAAGTCATCTTTCACACTAATGTCTTAACCAGATTATATGCTTGTTCTTTTATGCCATTTTTTAATACTTTTGTCTATGTGAAGTTCTACTAATTCATGGCTGTACTGAAACTGAAATTATAATTTTGGGATGGCTCCAACAGCTTGTAGTGTTTTACCTATGTTATTGATTATTACATTGAATTTCAGTTTTAATATATCATTTTATTGCAAAATATTTATAGAATGATAAAGGGAACAAAAACATTGGATTATGAACTTCTGCTGAAATGTTGAAAGTTTTTCATTTAAGATTTAGTGCTGAATGTCACAGAGCTTACACTTAAAACTATTACAGAGGGTGCGTATTTGAATAGTTTCCTATATTTTGATTCCTTTGTGTTTTGTGGCACGTGTTGCTCTCATTATTTACTTCCTACTTTTCTGAAATTGATTTCCACTCATTTAAGGTACATTAATATCCTCAACAGCTTTTCAGTCCTGTTAATAGCTCAGGACTGGTCAAAGGTCACTCAGCAGTTGCCTTTTAAAGATGTTTGAGGGCTTGTCTTCATCACCTTTTGATTGCAGTTTAACCTTGTGTAAAAATTCTCAGCACAAGCTGTAGTTCTAGTTTTGCCTACAGGGTGGGAGAGACTGATAAACACTAAAATTGGGAACGTGACTTTTAACTGGGAAAGGAGAGTCTCTGGGCACTGAGAATTCAATGATGCAAAAGGCTTGAGCAGAAAGGTGACACCATCAGGAGGATGCCACAGTTCTCAATAGTTTGTATCTGGATTATCAGATGCTTTTTATGCACTGCTTGCTTGTGATTCATGTTTTAGGAAGAGCAGAGTTGTAAGCAAATTAAGGTTACTGTTAAAACTTTAGTATGAAATTAACTGGAATAAATTTTATCTTCCATAATTGCAACCTTTTAAATATATAAAATACTGTATTTTTAATAAAACAGCATATTACTTGATTTGTCTCTTTAGCTCTTTCAAATCTATTTCATAAAGTTATTTTTGTGCTCTATAATTAAAGATAAAAAGAACACACTTAAAAACAGTGTACCTGATGCACGAATCAAAATTAGAGAGAATATTTTCATAGAAATGAAGGTATATTAGCCAGAACACATTGATGTAACTACACAGTCCAAGTTTTTAATATTTAGAGCAAATCCAATAATACATACATATAATTTTGTTTACTACAGAGGCTAGTTTATTAATACACTCTGATAGAAGGTGTTATCTTTCAGTGCCCCTTTATGATGCAGAGGAAAAAACAGAGCCAAATATTGCCAGAGCGTCTGGAATCAAATGTATTAAGAAAAATCAGTGCTTCCAGTAGAATACATATGGAAATTACAAACAAAAATCACATGTCAAATCAAATAATGGCTTATGCTAATGTCTGAAATGAGCTCACTTCTTTACAGTTTTTTGCTTGGAGTTTTTTAAGTTCATACTTTCCGTGTAACTGTTGCATAGCTGCAGACACTTGAAAGTCTTTTAAATTTTTTCCTCACCTCCACTTGCCGGAAAAAAAAGATTTCTGAATTTCAATCTTGTAATTCTGATGAACTGCTGAAACAGTTGAACTGCACAACTATCTCGTGATATTTTAATGACTTTAGATGCAAAGGTCAACATTCAGGTGTTGATGTTTGCTCTGTATTTGAGCGCTTATTTAATGAGCTCTGATTTTTAGGAATGTGTTCTGCAGGCAGGTGGAAACTTCATAGTTGTATTAATTCATGTAAACATATCTATATAACTTTTTCATAAGTATCTGTATTATTGTAAGTTGCTGTTTCTGGGAAAAGACAGATAAATGCCTAAACACCATTTTGCCTCTTGGTGCTTTTTGTTTGGTTTTTTTTTTTCCTGCCTGCTTATGTATTAATATTGGAGAACTCTGACTTGTTAACTGTACAAGGAATGCTGTCAACTTAAACTTTGAATGGGACTTCATTGCTCTGAGGGAAACTTCAGGAAGATATATTTGCCAAAGGAGCAGTAACAAAATGTAGAATATAGGGAAAGAGAAAAATGCAACATCTTAAACCACGGAAAGCAAACTTTGATAGCTCTCCCCTGTGTGGAGGACTGAGTTTTGTCTGTGTCTTGGCTGATTCAAAGCTTCAGATGGGAGCCAAGCCCTGGCTGGAGCTGGCAGGAGACTTGTGGAGAACAGCTGAAGCAGGTGCTGTGCTCAGCTGACTGCCCTGCCTGTACTCCTGCACTGCTGGCATGTGATGCTCATTTGGGTTTCATCTCTGGTGGCACAGGAGCACTTGCATGTCCTGTTCAGAGCCACCATGGAGGGACAGCAGAGGCAGCTTGAGCAGCAACTGCTTCTAATATCTGATATATTTCTCCATGCACATTTACTCTCAGTAAATGTCCTTAAAATCAAAAATATAGTCTGAAGTATACACTACATTGAATCAATGTAATTTTTATTTGAAATTCATAATAAAGGAAATGAAAAAAAATTCTATTCCAAATTGCAAAGGACTTAATATTTTATTAGTGTGAGTTATTTAATGAGTTAAACCAATATTAACATCTTTATAATAGTATAATTATATTTATGCTGTGTTTGTTTTGCTACGACTTTAATGCTTTTCACCAGCAGGATGTTTTCTATACATAGCCATGGCACTTTTGCTGTAATGTTTAAAAGGCTAACTAAGTATAGAGCAGACTGAAGGGGGGGCTATGTTTTCTCATGTGCTTTTGTTAAATTTATTTGCCTAGTGTTAGATTTTGTCAATAGCAAAAACTGAAGCAAATAAAAATGCATAGAGATATTTATCAGAAAAAAAGGTAGAATAAATTCTCTCAATTCTCAGCTGTGTACAGTATAGTGGCCAGCAGATAATTATATTATTACAAGGCACAGTGGGAAGTACATCAGGAAAAATATGAGACGTACTGAGTCATAATGTAATTTTTTTTTTAATCCTGCTTGCTTATGTTCTCTTGTAGTTCGAGATCGGGTCCGGACAAAAATGGAGCGCGATATTCTAGTAGAAGTTAATCATCCTTTTATTGTCAAGTTACATTATGGTGAGTTGCAGAAAAATTCATTTTTCTGGTGTAAAAATGTGTGTTTGTCAAGACAGTTCCTCATATTTGCTTTATGACTCAGAAAATCATAGAACTTCAGTGTGTTAAGTCCCAGTTGTGCAAAGACTCACTTTATAATAATTCTCGTGCAAAAGAAGCACGTGCTGGACTTCATGCAGTGTTAAATCTGTATGGGACTATGAGTCTGTAGCCCTTTGTGTTATTAAAAGCACTTACCTATTAATAACTAGCCATTATTTTCCAAAACCTCTAACCTTTTGTATGACATACACTTTTGAAGTTATTTCTTACAGTTGCTTTTGTTTACTCAGGGGAAAACATAAGCAATGGCATTAATTCCACTTGCATCAAAATTGGTGGAAATTAACCTTTTCATTCCAATAGTATGAGCAACTGTAACAGAATACTTATGTGTAAAGGGGGGAGGATATCAGTACTTTTAACACGTAAAGAAAAGATGGAGTTTCTGGTTTGTTTTGATTTGGCTTTTTTTAGTTTATATTTTTCTTTCAGGGTTTGTTTTTTCTTTTAGTTAAGCCTCATGTCTCTCTGACTTTCTGATGTGGCTTAAATTATGTACCTTTCACTATTTTATTTGCAATTCTTTTGCAAACTAGATTAAAAGACCTTGTTAAGCTGAGTTTCTAAAGATTTTAAAACGTTCATTAGTTATTAGTTGACCCTTTAAAATCTGGAATAAAATGCTGACTAACCTAAGTAAAGTTTATTTCTAAAGGAATTTTATTGGTAATTTGCTTTACTTTCACATAGCATGGGAATTACTTGGTCCATGGGAGAGGATCAGTTGCCTAATTTATTTCAATAGATTTTTCCACAAGGGAGAAAGAGAAATTAATTTTAATAATGAAAATAAACATGAATTATTTGGTAAGTTATTTTCCTGATCATGGATAAAGTTAGGTGGTATTTAATTTTTTAATTGATCTTTTCAGCTTTTCAAACAGAAGGGAAGCTGTATCTTATTTTGGATTTTCTCAGGGGAGGAGACTTGTTTACACGTTTATCCAAAGAGGTACACTTTTTAAATTTGAAAAATTGTCTGTTGATATAATTTGACTATAAATTGTCTGTATTAGGAGAGTATACATTTTAAATTCAGTTTTCATTGAATAAAATTTTAATCTGTTTTTAACCTGGTACAATTTTTGTTTGGGGTTTTTTGCATAGTCACTTCATGGAAGGGCTGATGGCAATTTACATTATTTCTGAACAAAATCTTAGATAAGCAGTCTTTCTGTCCTGCTTTTTATACCTGGCAAAATCTTCTCCTGATGCTACCATGTTTAAATATAAGACTTAGAACCTGGATTTATATAAAGTCAATTTATGTCTGGTTTATCCAGAATTCAGGGCAGATAAGATATTGTCTTTTTTTATCCATGAATGCAAAATTCCGTTATGTATGAGTATTTTAAAAGCAAGAATTGTACTCCACTTATTTTAGTAATTTTCAAAAAGTGAATGTTTTGCCTCTGTCATGATAGTAATATGTCTGTTTTGATATAGGAAATAACTTCGAAGAGTTTCATTACCTCAATTTAATTTGATTATAATTTCTAAAATAAATGTTAGCATCCAATATATCACCATATTTTTTAAAGTTTTTGTTATCCATTACTCCTGTTCAAAAACTCACAATAAATATCTGTTAGGACAGAGATTATATCCAATGTGTATCTTGTAGCCTGAACTTGGAGTTGTAGCTGCTTTGCATTTTCCTTTGCCACAGTATCTGGGATAGCTGGGTTACCACTGCAAAGCTGTATTGTTATTAAGAGGAGAATAGAATGGAATTTACTTTGTATATAGATGTACATTACCTCTGTGCTGACCACATAAATTATTACATTTTTTTTTGATGCTGCTATCTGTTTCAAGCTGCCCTTTCTCGTTTGTTTTGCCACGGATAACTAATCAGTTTTTAGTGCTCCTAAATTGAGATAGTCTTAAAGTTTGTAGTTCATTCTTGATTCCCAAAAATGAATGAATATTGGCTTTCTGCTGATGACTTTTTCATCCTGAGCCACTCACAATTTATAAAATTTAATGTGGTTAGATGAGAAATATCTATTATAGGTACCTGAATTTAAGCAAAGTGTGCACAACTGGTGAGTGAAATGGGCATGCTGGATGCTATTAAGGTCATCCTTCATGTGTTGAAATAGATCAGATGAACTAGAAGTTGTTGCTTTTTTCCTATTGACTACAAAGGGAAAGGTGATTAATTCAAAACTAGATATCTACACTGCAGATGTTTAAGGGTAGGAAAGATGAGTCCCATGCAATGGTTTTAAATAATGTAGTGTGGGTGTATTATCCTTCTCATGGAATCTTCTATTATTTGAGCTTTTAAAGATTTCCTTTCTTGAATATATCTGCACTAAATATTGGCTCTTTTATAGAAATAACATCAGCAACAACCTATTGTACAAGCTTTAGTGTTGCTTTCTCTCATGAAACTACTAAGGGGAAAAATATTCTCCATTCTTAACTCTTGTTGAAAATAATGTTCAGCTTTGTTCCCTATTGCCATTCTTTTTTATGGGTCTGTATGCTTTATCTTACAGTATTAGTCTTAGATTCTAAAAACAGAGCAAATAAAATGACTGAGTAGTAACTGAAATAGAACCAAATTGTGCAAGTTCTGTTTTTATTTTTATCTTTTTCTGCAGTCTCAGAAGAATTATAATGTATTCTGTCAGGGATCATGACAGTTGATACGTTGGGACAATATGTGCATTTCAATGAACATAAAGATTCGTTTATCTTCCTAATCCAAAAAGTGGGATTACTACCTGAGATCCTTCCTGTTCACTTAGTTTACTCTTTGATCTGCCTTTTCTGCATCTCAGGCTGCACCTTGGGGCTTTTACCATTGCTGTAGCTTCCTTCTCAAAGTACCTAGAGACAGTCTTTCCAAAACCAAGATACTTATACTTTTCTTCTGTCTTACTTCATAGATAAAATTGAGGCATTTGGACTTCCTTGGTCCATTTGTTGTCTGTAAATGAAATGCTCCCATCCAAGAGGTAGTCATGTTCTTTAAGTGCTTCCAAAATATTTCAGTTTCACTACAACATGTTTGTCTGTTTTCCTGAACAATCAGAAACAGATAATCTCCCAGTTTGCAGAAAGAACAATATATTGCCTTTAAAACTTTTTTCAAGTATGTCCAAGTATTTCAAGTATGAAATAGCGTGGGTTATAAAATCCCTAGTTTTTGTGTAACCAAGAAATTTGTCTTTTCTAATGTTTTGTGTAGAGATTAATTCAAGTATTGTAAGAAACCCTTCTGTAAAGCCACTGTTGTTGTTTAGTTGGTGCTGGTGTAACTTTCTCAGATTTCACATGTGAAATACATTGTATTACTTTTTCAGGTGATGTTCACAGAAGACGATGTTAAATTTTATCTGGCAGAATTAGCACTTGCTTTAGACCATCTACATAGTCTTGGAATAATATACCGGGACCTAAAACCAGAAAAGTAAGGCTCCTCTTATGCAGTGTATTAATCTCATTTCTATATCTTCTTCTTCCTATGCACTTTTTTCCCAACTGTTAAACTTTGATGATTTACTCTATAAATTGAACAGAGGGATGTGGGGGAGGTTTATGTGCTATTTTCATTTAAAAGGTTGGATTTTACCTGTTTCAAAGAGGAAAAAGGATCTTAGCTCAGGAGTTACAGGGGCTTGTTGAGAGAACTTTAAACTGTTTGAAGGGGAATGGGTACAAAGCCAGAGGTAAGCCTGGGGCTGACAAGCCACTCTTTGAGGCACAGTGCTCTAACAAGGTCCTTTACCTGCTATAGCAGGAGAGTTAAGGGATGGAGGTCCTGGCAGCAGCAAGGATGAAAGGAGTATTGATATGTTCAAAATCCCAGAAGCAGAAGATGACCAGAAAAAATTTGTACAAATCAGCAGCAAAAGGAGGACTAAGGAGAATCTCCATCCTTTGTTGGATATGAAGGGAAACATAATGACAAAGGATGAAGAAAAGGCTGGGGTACTTCATGCCTTTCTTGCTTCAGTCTTTAATAACAAGACCAGTTGTTGTCAAAGTACCCAGCTCTCTGAGCTGGAAGACTGATTGGGAGCAGAATGAAACCTCTTCTAGGAGGAAATGACCAGCTATGCAACTTAGAACTCCAAAAGTCAATGGGACTGGATAGGACTCACCCAAGAGTACTGAGGGAGCTGGTAGAAGAACTCATCAAGGCACTTTCAGTCATTTAACAGTAGTCCAGGTCAACCATGGAGGTCCCAAGTCACTGGAAGTGGGCAAATGTGACACCGAGCTATAAGAAGGGTTGGAAGGAAAACCAAGGAAACTATAGGTATGTCAGCCTGACCTTGTTGTCAGGAAAAGTCATGGAGACATCATCTTGAGTGCCATCATGTAATGTGTACAGGACAACTGGGGTTTCAAGCCAGGCTAGCCTGGGTTTATGCAAGTTCCTGCTTGACCAGCCTGACCACCTTCTACGGTGAGGTCATTTGCTTAGTGGATGAGAGAGAGGCTCTGGATATTGTCTACCTAGACTTTAGTAAAGCCTTTTGTGACATCCAACCCTTAAGGGGAAAGGACTACCAAGGTATGTAAATGCTTGTGGGGGAAAGGAATAACAAAAGTCAGAGGGTCTGAAAAAAATTACAAGGTTTTATTAGTAAGTTGTATATATGCATATATACTGGCATGGAAATCACTCTATTAGTCCCTGACCTACTATAAAAGCACATGCAATGGGGTTTGGATAAAGGGGTGAGATGAAAAGGAAGAGTGAAAAGGAAAGGTGAATTAAAGAGGGAGAAAGAGGAGGAGAGAAAGCGATCACCAGTCTTGGCTACAGTGTCGACCCAACTGATGGGGATATCCAGTGTCCAGGGGCACTCCTGGGCATGGTGGGGACAAATGAGTTGTTAGGCACAGTCTGTTCTTTCACATCTTTCTGGAAATGTGTTAGGGGTCTTTGGGAATATTGGGTGGTCTTTTCTTCCCATGCAGTCCATGCCTGCTTGTCAACCCCATTCCTGCGCTTGTGCTGTACTGGGTTGTGCTTATCTTCAGGAATTAGAACAAGGATTTGTTCTGGAAAAGTGCTGCACTATATCTGCATGGCCTCTTCTCTGGGCACATCTTGTTCTTTCTCACGATTACCAGCAATCTTTGCTTATTACTAGCAATTCTTATCTCTCATTAACAACAATTTGTGGTTGACCCCAGAGCCAAATGACTTTCTGTGTTTGAGACATATATATTAGCCCCTTATCTTCTGTGATTCTATGCCTTTGACACAGTTTCCCACAGCATTCTCCTGGAGAAATTGGCTTCCCATGGTGTGGACAGGTGCACTCCTCACTGGGTAAAAAACTGATTGGATGACTGGACCCAGAGAGTGGTGGTGAATAGAATTATATCCAGCCAGAGGCTGGTCACCAGTGTTGTTCCCCAGGGCTGTGTATTGGGACCAGACCTGTTTAGCATCTTCATTGGAGATCTGGATGAGGGGATTGAGTGCACCCTGAGCAATCCCACACACAACCCCAAGTTGGGTGGAAGTGTTGATCTGCTGGTGGGCAGGAAGGCAATGTTTGCATATGGCACTTAAGGACATGCTTTAATGGTTCCTGCCATGGCAACTGCACAGTGCAAGGGGATGGGGTCTGGGTCATGTTTTACCCCAGGTGTAGGAAATAAATCCACCGTGTAGGGGGTGTTACAAAATCCAGTTCTTGAATACTTTGCATGCTTTGCAAAGCAGTGATATTCAGTGGTGGTCAAGGACAGTTGGCATCTCGGAGAAGTGTGGCCTTTCTTGTGATTGAAGTGAAAAGGCAGAAGCCTAAGTTCTGCTCCGAGTATAGGGCCTGTGGTCCTGTCCTTTGGTACAACATGAGAATATTTATTACTTCTTGTTACTTGAAGTGGTCAACAACTTTTGAAATGGTAATTACAATATACAAATACCTGTTGTGTATACATATGAAAACATACCTGGTATAAGAGAAATAGAACTATGCCTCTGTTTTTAATAATTACAATAGTGCTGCATGTGGTGCCGATGGCCAAAACTGTTACTACATATTGAATTTAATCAAATAGTTGAATAAAACTCAAATAACCTTTTTCTTAATCTTTAAAAAGAAAGAGTGAGAAGAAAATGTGTAGTTTGAATCTGTCTTCTAATAATTCATTTTCATGCGTGTTTGAGTCTCTGTGTTTGTTTATCCCCTATTGTTTATTCCTAAATGTTGTCAGTATGTTATCTGAAACAACACTTTAAAATATATTTTAATTAGTTTTTTTATATTCTTTTTATTGTTTTTTAGCATCCTGCTTGATGAGGAAGGACATATCAAATTGACAGGTGAATAAAGGAGTTGCAATACTAGGATCATTTCTGTTCATAGTAAAATCTTTGCATTTTCCTTTTGGTAAACCATTATGATAAAATAAGTAATTTTAACTGATCAGTAATTTAGCTGTGGAAGCAAATAATGTAATTAGCTTGAAATAAATGAAATCTGTAAATATTTCAATAAGATATCTGCTTTACAAGTATATCTGATGTTACGGATCTATGATAATGTGGGGAGGGAAGGAGAATCCTGTAATTGCTATATTAGTGTTCAGTTGTATATAGGAATGATAAAAGCATAACACTTCATGTTATGGTAAAAGTATCAACCATTAGTGTTTGGTTTTTTTAATTACATTTGGTATTTTTTTTTCCTTTCAGATTTTGGCTTAAGTAAGGAGTCAATTGATCATGAAAAAAAAGCCTACTCGTTCTGTGGAACAGTGGAATATATGGCACCAGAAGTTGTGAACAGACGAGGCCATACACAGAGTGCAGACTGGTGGTCTTTTGGTGTTTTAATGGTAGGTTTCTGGTAAATGTAAATCATAGCAAAGTTGTGATTTGCAAGGTCTGGTGAAACAAATTAAACACTAACCCCTAAGGTGAGCTTTACATAAATTTTAACTACAAAGGAAGTCTAAATTGTGTGAAATTAATAACACCTCAGACTTTGATCAGGAACATGGATGAGGTATCATATCAACACCAATAATATGCCATATTTTTATTATCATTTAATTCAAATACTTTATATCTATAGTAGTTTGAGTGTTATGGGGACCAAGAGAAATATAGAAGTATACAGAAAAAAGTACTTCAAAGTGGGGAAGAAATTAGTATTCAAATTTTAAATTTGAATTTAGATTCAAGAGGAAAAAGGAGATTGGTAGCTTTCTAATTAGAGTATACAGTGTAATTGCAAGTTAGTGGAATAATGGCAACTGTTGTTCTCACACATCAAAATTATCTAAATGACACTGAGCTGATATGGGATATAGTTTCTCAGTTGCTTATCGTGTTTCTGCAAGGGGTAATTACTGTAAAGTTGCAAGGTCAAGGGAAATATGTATATGGAATATGAATTGGAAAAGGATAGTAGGTCATGTTTGGTATTTAAGGAAGGAATGCTGAAAAACTTTTAATATTTAAAATATTTGTGTGCATTTTTGACATGGAAATTAAATAATTGTATAAATGTATTCATTTCTTACTGCTTCTGCTACATAACTGTAACAGTACAACTAATGTGTGTGCTCATAGTACAAGAAGGACTCTTGTCTCTGAAAATAGGTCATCCTATCACTTTATGATGATTAGAATGCTGTTGTGATCTGAAAACTGACTGTAAAAGTAGCACCTGATAACTGAACTCTCTCCAGACAGGCACACACACTCCTCACAACTGCACATTTTATCACTAAGAACAGTCAATTAAAAGATCAGTACAATGTAGTTGCAGAATATTCGTTGTTGATAACACAAACATAATTAAACTTCAGCTTTAATTTATGAAGCTGGAAAACATAATTTGGTGTTTTTCAAGTGGATATGGTATAATTGAAAATTGCTGTAAGATGTTGCTTGCAGTTATAGTTTGTAATTTTCATAACCAATCTATAAGTATCCACTTTTAACTCATTTTTAATTTCTGAGCTGATCAAAAATTCAAGTGATGGTTGGTGTGGTGTAAGTACACAGAAACTAGAGTTAACAGAAGTTATAGAAATGGAGACTTTAAAGATATTTCAACAAATAGTTTGGCTTCTTTTCTTATGCTGCTAAACACGAAGTATGTTTAAGCAATTGTTAAGAACTATATTGTCATTTAAAACAGTGACAGTTTTAAGGAATGCCATACAAGTAAAAACATTTATTTAAAGTTTTCAGAAGCACTGAGGTACTCTTCTCCTAAAATAAAACATAAGTAGGGAAGGCCGGTGTTGGCTTATTCTTTAAGCACTATTGGCCTATTAATGTTGGAACATAGTATTTGGGAGGGTTGACAAAGAATACACATGTTGAGCTGTTAATACAAATGTGTGCTTGTGACAAATTAGGAGCTTGCTAAAGAAACTGTATTTCATGCAAGTGGAGCACTTCAAATTTACCTTTTTTAAAAGGCTTAATTTTTTAAGTGCACCTTGTGACGATCTTTCTAAACAATTTTGTTTTTTCTTCTTATTCTGGCTTATCCCCCTCACAGCTTCTTGACAATTGTCTTAATGTTAAAGTTAAAAGAAGGCTTTTTTCATGTTTGCATTATTATTAAATTTAATTTTTTTAATATATCTGTAAAAAAATATTATCTGAAGTATAAAGTATCTACCAGTAGTGAAGAGATGGCAGTAAGAAATTCAAATTTTATTTCAATAAAATGGTATTTTAAAGAATACTATTAGTGCAGATTCATGCTCTTATTGTAGATCTACAAATACTACAGTCATACATTATTTATGCAAATTATCTACATATAATTTTTATGTACAGGAGGCTGAATGTTTGTGTCATACCAGAAAAAAGGGAATAGAGGATACCTTGTGTTCAGGATGACTTAAGTTTACATATGCTGTTCAGAGGGTTCCTTTATAATTATTTTAATTTCTATGTTGTTAGCTGTATGCCATGGAATTTCATTGAACTAAATTCTTTTGCAATCTTTAAACCAAAAAAATCAGATTTCTGCCTAAGTGTTGGCTGCCATGACTGCTGCCAGACTGCTTTCACTGCCTCACTTAGATCTGATATCCGTGCAGTATACTGCAGTCCAACAGGAGTGCCTTTATATTTACCTATTTTTACTCAGTCACTTTCAGAACAAATCAGTATTTTAGCAGTGTCTGTTGCTTACTGCCCAGGCACTGTAGAATGTGCATGCACGTACTGTGTAGCTCTTCCGTGTTCCTTCAGGCGTTATTTCCACTGTATGCATACAGTAACCACTTTTCATCATGCATGTCTTTGTCAATCAGCTAACCTTTCCCCTTCCCAATGAAGGCTATGTACATGCCAATTTTCAAAATTTTGACCTTTTAAAAAATTTCTGCATGAGGAGAAATCATCACTAACTTTTGAAAGGAAAACCTTTTTCCCTACCCCCCTCCCCTTTGTTTAAAACTAAAAATACAGTTGTACAGATCAAGTCTTCCTAGAACAAACTTTTTAGGTAGAAATGAAACACAGAACATTATAGTCTAAGTTGTTCAGATAAAAGGATGTAAAGCAAGTTATCAATATAGGAAAATATTTTGCAGCTTTAAAAATGGCAAAGGCTGCTCAATGTTCTTAGCAATTGAAATTGTACAATGAAGTTGTTTTGCGCAGACTTGATTGTTAACGTGCATGAATTTTGGAAGGTTAAGATGCTAAGTAGTTTTGTCAAAAATTAGTTTTTGTCCAGGTAATGTAATTGATGAAAGTTTTACTCTATACAGTTTGAAATGCTCACTGGTACTCTACCTTTCCAAGGGAAAGACAGAAAAGAAACCATGACTATGATTCTCAAGTGAGTACACTCTTATTTATATATCTCATCAGGTATTCTACAGGGATGCCCTCCGGGCTGCAATATCTAATTTCTACTCCTCCCTCATTTTCAAAGGTACTGGTAAATCCTCACTCCCTATTCCATATTATTAATTCCCTTTGCTGCCTATCTAATTTGCTTCACTATTCCTCCACCATACCAGGTACAAAGGATTTCATAGCAGCTCTTTAATCTGTAATAATAAGTTCTCCAACCACATGATCTCTCCCATCTTATTTCCATAATATTTTTTAACTTCCTTATCCTTTTTGATAACCTGTGAATTTTTTTCCCTGTTGGTTTTTTTTCTTTTGTTTTAGGTTTTTGGAGTTTTTTTGATCAAGTATTTTCACTCCTTATCCTCCTTTATCTTACCAGCTCCTCACCCTATCCCTTTATATATAATGCTGCAAACAATTTGCCTCCCCAAGACTCCTCCCTTCTGTACTCATTCCTATGAGTTGCCTAAACTCCAATTTTCCCCTTTGCTATTTTCAGCATAGATTTTGCATTAGCTCTATTGTGGGAATCGCTTTCCTTCATGCAGTTAATGTTCTTGTTTTTGCTAATGAAGGTCTGCTTTTTTCCTTGCCAATTCCCCCCATATTCTCTAAATTAATACAACCTATGGCGTAACTGCCCCATTTTGGGACTGTAGCCAAACACTGCAAACAAGTCTGTTTCCTCATATCATAGGTTCACTTCTCTGTTTCCATCTATTTTTAAGTGATACCATTTTTTTCCATGGAAGCTCATGAGATTTATCTTAGTTTTCTCATTTGTTTTCTGCTTCATTGTTTATCATTGTTCTCAGTCCTGTTAACCACTTGTCTACCCATATATCAAAGCTGGAATTTCTTTTGCACTAACAGCCTGTTTTGAAAAATAAATCTATGGAACTCTTTCATCTTTTCTCTAAGTAATTAGAATGTGAAAACTACTAGGAAATACATTCATTATTTTCTTGGCTTTTGCTTTCATAATGCTTACATGTTATTCTTTGCCCTTGTTTTTTTCTTCATCTTATTTGCAAATATATTTGGTGATGCTAGTTTCTGCTGCCTCAGCACCATGCCAGATCAAATCTTAATGTTATGATTATTCAATGTCTTTTAACTAAAAAGTTCTGTCTATTCACTGCAAGCATATACTCCTTCTGACCACCTCCTATTTACAAGAAGCTAGTCTGAGTTACTTCTGCTGCACTCTCACTTCTTTCAGGAGCCATGCATTTTTTTCTGTGTCTCATGAGTCACATCTTTCTCTTCTCTTTGCCTGCATGTGACTCCGCTCTGTTCCTCAACAGTCTTTTTGCTGTTGCTATAAATATCTTCTGTATTCAGCTGCCATGTAGAATATCCTTGCATTTCTCCAGGTAATTGATGTTCATAGTCATTCATAGCCCAGAGAGTGGTGCTGAGTGGAATGAAATCCAGGTGATGGCCGATCGTAAGTGGTGTTCTGAGGGGCCAGACTTTTTTAACATCTTTATCAACAGCCTGGACAAGGGGATTGAGTGTCAGTTTGCAGGTGCCCCCAACCTGAATAAGGGGAAAAACAGATCTGCTGGAGGCTGGGAAGGCTCTGCAGAGGGATCTGGACAGGCTGAATCCTTGGGATGAGGTTCAGTGGAGCCAAGTGCCAGGTCCTACACTTGGGTCACAACAACTTAAGGGAACGTGCCAGGCTTAGGGAAGAGTGGCTGCAAAGTTGCCTGACAGAAAAGCACCAGGGAATGTTGGTCCAACAACTGCTGAACATAACCCAGTTGTGCCCGGGTGGCCAAGAAGGCAAATGGCATCCTGGCCTGTATCAGCAATAGTGTGGCCAGCAGGACAGGGCAGGGATTGTCCCCCTGTACTCGGCACTGCTGAGGCCACATCTCAAATCCTGTGTCCAGTTTTGGGCTTCTCACTATGAGGATATGGAGGTGCTGGAGCATGTCCAGAGATGAGCAATGGAGCCAGTGAAGGGTCTGGAGCACAGATCCTGTGAGGAACAGCTGAGGGATCTGGGTTTGTTTATTCTGGAGAATAAACAGAGGGAGACCTTTTCACTCTACAACTACCTGAAAGGAGGCTGTAGCCAGGTGGGAGTCAGTCTCTTCTCCATAGTAAGAAACAACAGGATGAGAGGAAATAACCTCAAGTTTCACTATGGGAGGTTTAGATTAGATATTGGGAAAAATTTCTTCGTTGAAAGGGTTGTAAAGCATTGCAACAGGCTGCCCAGGGAAGTGGCTGAGTCACCGTCCTTGGAGGTTTTTCAAAAAGATGTGGCACATAGGGATATGGTTTAGTGGTGGACTGGGTGGCACTGGCTTCATGGTTGGACTTGATAATCTTAAAGGTCTTTTCCAACCTAAGCGATTACAGGTTTCTGTGATTCTGTAATTACTTCAGGTTTCATTTGAGAATGTATCTCTTAATGCCCTTTCCAACTTCTTTCTTTTTTCACCTTCTAGTCTTTGCAATTGTTAATGGTTTCAAATAGCTGCACAGAAAGTGTGCTATGATGTAAAGACATTTTACTCTCTTTTAATGTTTCGTTTGGTTATGAGTATTATCTTGCATAAAAGTGTTTTTCTTTTGGTCATATAAGCAGCTGAAAACCAGAAGATATTTTAAAGTGTTTTCTGATAAATTCACACTTTTCTGGTCTATGTTTTCTTTTTATTTTCCACATACCTAGTATATTTTTCCTTAAATTGTTCATAAAACTTTAAAATGGACAGGTGTGCCTATGAATTCTGGTTTTCATAGTGTATATTTACAATATATTGCTTTTCTTACCTTCTGTTCCTAAAAATCCACAGAAAATGCATTCTCCTTACAATAAAAATTTTTGGGGTTCTTTATTTCTCACATTATCAAGACAAATTTTTGTTTATTCTCGTGTGTTTTACCTAAAACTGGGAAACCCTGCAGTTTGAAGAAATCGTTGGTTGCAGCAACAAAGTTAAAATTTTAAATTTAACATCTTTCTTTTTTACTTAAGAGGTATGCCTTCATATAAAATTTTGTCATTGTCCATCAGGAATGTCAGAAAAAAATTGCTGTCATTCATGTAGCTGCATAACAGAGGAACTCTGAGGACTGGCAATTGCCTTTCCTTCTCCTCTGTCATGTGCCTGATACAAGATTTTGTGAAAGGTGGTGGTGCATGGCAGTCAGGAAAAATTGGATGGTCCACTGCCCATTCCTCCTCTTCACTGGTGGCCTTGATCTGTCTGTAGTATGTTACTGAAGAGCCTAAAGAAGCCAAAGTTTTTCAGATTTTCCTCCTCCCTGCCCTACCTTTTTTAATGCTGAAAGGAATGGAAAATTTAGTAAGTTCTAGTTTTAAAGTAATGAATTGTGAATCAGTGGCAACATGCATGCACTTACTCAAGTGACACAGAAGTGAATATCTAGAAATCCCTGGAATACAAGACAAATCAGGTTCTGATTGGAACACAGAGCTTTAGTCATGGACTGTTACAGAAAAATATAAGCTACAGGTTGAATTAGTGATGGAAAGGAAGCAATTATATCCTTCCTTTATCATTATCATGGTTACAAGAAAAAGTAAGCCCTAGTAACAGTGAGAGAATGGAGGTTCAATGTTAAATGGAGATGAAAACAATATGACTACGATTACAAAACAAAATTAAAGTACAAAAACTGAAATCTAAAAATTCAAGACTGACAAGTTGTAAAAGTGTTATTTGAAATAGATTGAGGAGGGGAGAAAAAGGAAAAGGGTTTTTAAATTTTTTTTTATTTTTTTTAATCAGCTAATCCTGCAATATGTGTCCTACCTTAATTCAATTTCTGTATTCTAGTTTGTTTCCTGGGTCATCTTCGTGTATCATAGTGTGGTACTTTTCTTAGTCCTTCTATTATATAACTATCAAAATGCTTTGTTTCATGTCATTTGCTGGTAGCTGGACCCATAAGTGGGTCAAAGCATATGATGAAAATTTACAAGTTTATAAACTGTTAGCCTCTAGCTATTCTTTTCTACACATTTTTCCAACTTTTACTTAAGTTTCTGAGTCATTGCTGAAAATACTATACTGTTAAAAAAAAATTGAAAACCCAAACATGTTTACATGACTGACAGCACTTTTGCTCTGTGTCTGATGTCTGAAGGCAATTTCTCGGTGATGCTACTTCATTTATTATGGACTTGTTGAATGGCAAAGGACAGGGGGAGTGCAGAGTTAATTCTTACCTAGATATGTTTGTATACTGTTAATTATTTTCATTCTCTAGGGCCAAACTTGGAATGCCCCAGTTCTTGAGTCTTGAAGCACAGAGTCTCCTGCGAATGCTCTTCAAAAGAAACCCAGCAAACAGATTAGGTAAAGTTTTTAGCAGAATATTTTAATTTTGATCATAATATATATAACATCAGTGGTCATTAAACTGACTAAAATTTTGTTTCCTGTGTAAAATAGGCTTTAAAATAAGAATGTAGTTTGCCCTTCAAGAGATCACTCAAGTATTATCATTTCTGCTAGTCATACATCTAAAATTATTGCAGAAGGAATAAGAAATATCATTTTGCTAGCCAATCCTTGGACCAAGAAGAAACTAATTCATAGACATTTTTCTTCCTTATAAAAGGAGCAGGTCCAGATGGAGTAGAAGAAATTAAGAGGCATGCATTCTTTTCCAAAATAGATTGGAATGTGAGTATCTAATTAAAAATCAATCCAATACATTTCTTGGTTAAATCTTTTATGGTATCATATAACTTTTCCATTTACAACGTGTCCCTTCTCTTCAGAAATTGTACCGGAGAGAAATCCATCCTCCTTTTAAACCTGCAACTGGCAGACCTGAAGATACATTTTATTTTGACCCTGAGTTTACAGCAAAAACTCCAAAAGGTAACGATATATGAATGAGAGAAGTTATATATTCAAAAGATAGAATTTGAATTTCAAATATTTTCATTCAAAATTTGATGCAAATTGTTGTCTTTACAAATTCAAGGTGTTACCAAGATTTCAGGATTTAGTCTCATATCTGCATGTTAAAGATTCTGCTTGTAAGTAGATGATGTATTTTTCAGATTCGCCTGGTATTCCACCCAGTGCTAATGCACATCAACTTTTTCGGGGATTTAGTTTTGTAGCTATTGCATCAGATGATGAAAGCCAAGCAATGCAGACAGTTGGAGTGCATTCAATTGTCCAGGTGAGTAAATCTAATTTAAAAAATCAGTGCTGACTCTTGGATTGTTTCCTTGTCACAGAATGAACTATCATGACAAAATCATTGTCATCTTTTATACAAGAAAAGTAAAGATAAGATGATTTTATCCAAACAAAATCTCTGAAGGTACAGGACCTATTTAATTACTGAGCAGCTACAAGTCCAAATAGGCTTCAGCCTTAAATGAGAGCATTCCACCATCTGTACTGTCTTACCTCTTTAATGTCAAGCCATAAAGTGGAGTGGAATAACAGATATATTGATTTATTATTTTTTTCCCCCACACATGAAAATATCAGTTGACTCCTGCAATGCAGTAGTAGGAGGCACTGGAGTACCATTGTGAATTGTATCTGGATGTTCTGGACTGCTGTGTTTCTTGGAATTCATGACCCAGGACATACTCTCAAGCCACTTGAAGTTAATTTGCTAATCTGTGCTATTTTGTGACTGATTTCAGTGCATCATACAAGTCAGTGTTACAGTGCAAACTCAAGCTTTGGCTTCCTGTATATATTTGAATGACTCCAGCAGAGCCTCCTTATTAAGAATTGTGAGGTTGTCACCTGAAAGAGGAGACCTCTGCAACAATTGTATTTCTACCGCCTCTTGTCTTTTAATAATTCTAATTACTGAGTCATGAAAACCAACTCATGATCTAAATTGTGTTGAAAACTTCTTAAGGTATAGGTAGGAATAAAAAGGTGTGCTGTAGGATCGGGTTTATTTGCAGTTTTCACTGCATCAGTATTTTGCAAATGTCTGAGAATTTTTAAAAACCCACAGTTTATACAGAACATGAATAGCCCTTGTATTTCTTTAACACTCTCATGTCTAGAATTGTTGCAATATGCTTTTCTACACATTACTGTTTCATGTGTAATAACATTTTTTTAAAATATAACTTTAGATCCTTTTTTATTCTCAAGAAGCTTTCTGATTTGATATAGGCATCAGAATTATTTCTGATCCTGGTATCTTGCTAGAAGTTTCTGCAAGCTCTGTGCTGCTTCATTCCCACATCGTTTTTGTAGATGGCATTATTGCTCTTTGTATATAGTTTCCTTCTCTTGTAAAGGTCTGTTTCTCTGCTGCCTTTCCTCTGTGCCCCTCAACAACTTCCTCACTCCTATTTCCTCTTTTCTGTGCTGCAGGATACCCAGATGGTTTCCTGCAAATGCTTTGCATCCTTTGCACAAACTCCATACACTAGAACACCATTTCCTTCCCTTACAAGAGTGAGCACTTGTCCTCCTTTCAGCTTTTTATTTCTGTGAAAGGATTTTTTGACTGCCATTCCATTCAATTCCAGCCAATCTGAATCTATTCACTATGTCTGAATTTTTCAGCTGGCATTCTGTCTATTTGGATAATTAAAAGAGTGATACTTCTTTACCATTGTTGTATCACTAGCTTGCCTTGAAGTCTTCTGATTTTCTTTGGTTTGGAGTTTCTATCTTTAAATTAGTAAAGCAACAAACAGAAAAATAATGTCAGTGTCTAAAATACAGTGTGCATTTTTTACAATATGTCTAATATATAATCTATCTTATACTAATTTTTAACAGAAGGTAGTTGGGATTTACACCACTTTGACCTAGTAGAGTCATCAGTTTTAAATTTTAAGCAAATCAGCAGGATTTTTTTAAAAGTTATTTTAATTAAAAAATAAGTTAAATATTAAGAATATTCATCGATTGATAATGTTATTTTGGTAGCAGTTGCACAGGAACAGCATTCAGTTTACTGATGGATATGAAGTAAAGGAAGATATTGGAGTTGGCTCTTACTCTGTCTGCAAGAGATGTGTTCATAAAGCTTCAAACATGGAATATGCTGTGAAGGTAATTACTTTGCTATAAACCACACTTTTCAGATGTTAGCATTGGGCATTTCTATTTGTGAGAGAAACAGAGATTAAGATTGATTTTTCTTAATATAAAAATATTTTTTATGCAACTGCAAAAGTAAATTCATAAATTCTCAAATGGCTAAGGGGTTCATAACAGTCTTTAGTCTGGTATAACTTACAGAATAAACTCTGTTTTGGCTTTCTGGTTTTCAGCAAGGTTTTTAATATTGTTTTTATGTTATTCTATAGGTTTTTCTAGCACTTCTTTGAAGGCATTAAATTCTCAGTTGAAATCAGTAGATTCCCCAGAACTTGCAATTATAAGGTTTTCTGTATAATAACCTGGGACCAGATAGTTACTATGAGAGCAAGAGTATGAATTAGCAGACTTTATAAGTGGGAAAAAAAAGAAGCAGTCTTTAAATCCTGTACTATGAGGCAGTTCTCTTTTTTAATTGTTGAACAGCTTACTACTTAATTATGTAAAATACAAAGATGAAATTAAGTATGTAGATTGCTTCTTGGAAACCTTCCAGTTTCAATTTGGTAGTTAAATACTTATTTTTATTCTAGTTCTGGCCAGGAACAGATTTGACTTCTGTGCTTTCAATTTGAAGTAATTTCTTGAAACTGCAAGAAAGTCCTGGCATAGCTGATAATTCCCTCAGCTATAACATTTGCTGTGAAGATTCACTCACTTTTCTATTGCCTCTGTTAGGGCATCTTTTACCTAAAAGAATCTTGAAAAAAAGAATAAGATGATCAATGTCTGATCTGTTAGCAGGGGACGGTAGCAGTATGGGCATAAGGATGAAGGAGTAACACAACAATGGAAAAGACATTATAGGAAATTCTACAGTTCAGGAGAGGAAAAAAGTGAGAAGAACAAGAATACCTTTAAATAGGGAAAAACAATATTGAACAAGGTGAACTTGAGAGCCAGAGATTCAAATGGGCTTTCATAATGAATATGTGTTTGAATTAACTCTGAGAAATTTTTACTTTTTCTAATTTTTTGTTCTCTTTCTCTTCTGATTTCTTTTGATACACAAATATTTGTTTGAGATTAGCATTGTGAAAATCAGTTCATTAGCATCATCCAACCAGTATTTTGTGTTAAATTAGGAACTTCCTATTTTATTAAATAATGGATCACTGAAGTCTGATCTACCAAACAGCCTTGCATTATTTATCACAGCCAAAGAGATCAGATCACTTATCCTCCAAAATTGTTTTCAAAACAGATTTTTCTATTTTTCCCAACATTTTTTGCTTTGCCTTGCTTTTCCAATTTAACAAACTTGGGTTTGGTTATAATCCATGCCTTCTGCAACAATAAATACTGGTTAACTGTAGATGGTAATAAGCATATCAAAGCATTACTCTAGATTCACAAAAAGAATTATGCTTATGTCTGTACATGCTCTTACAGATTATTGACAAGAGTAAAAGAGATCCAACAGAAGAGATTGAAATCCTGCTGCGCTATGGACAGCATCCAAATATTATTACCCTGAAAGATGTAAGTAGTGTTTTAAAGACATCCTTTAGTGTATTATAATTGTGAATCACTTTCTAATTTGAGAGATGACAAGCTATATGTTTTAGATTTATGTTCATGTCTTTCAGTCTTTAAAAATAAAACAATGTCCCAATGCAATTTATTCAGTAATATCTAGTTTTTTACTGGGATGTGTGTGTTTCCTTTAAAGTTGCTTATATTGTGGTACCAGTGTTAATCTAAGGAATCAAATAATTCATCCTTCATAAATCCTAGCACAAGAATAATTTATTTAATGTTGGCTGTATTTTTAGAGAAACAAGGAAGTTTTTTATTGCTTAGTCAACTTTGAATCTGATTTTGCCTACATTATTCAAAAGCAATTTTAATGCACATTATTATATAACAAAGAACTCACTGTTAGCACAGTACCCAAGTAAATTTCATGGACAGTAACAAGTATTACTCAGTAGTAGACAAAATCTTTCCATGTCCATGGTTCTCACTCTTTTTTACCCAGTATCTTTATCTGGCCTCTGTATGAACACTATCTAGGTATTTTTTCTCCTTGTATTATTTTCTCTGCCCATGGAAACACTTCATCCATAAAAAGCAAGGAATAACATAAGCTGGGAGGTAGAGGGTTTTCATAGTGAACAGTGTATTCTGATGATCTAACTGAAAAAGAAAATTGTCTTTGTCTCTTTGGTTATTCATTAAAGAGGATTAAAAATTAAAAACGCGTATGCTTAATGACTTTCTTAGACTACAGGGAAATATTCTGGTCCCCCAAACAAAACCTCAGGCAAAACAGCAAACCATTTCCAGGAAGCTCAGCTCAGCTGAAAGGAGATTGTCAGACATTTTGAAGTCATTAAAACAACAGCTCATAAATACTGTGGAGATGAACATTAGAGAACTCTGCTTGAAGTTGGTCTACTATAATCTGTCTCCACTTTATTGGTATCATACTGTTTGGCCCTTTCTTGGACAAGAAAATAAGTTAGATATTCAGGGGAGCCCACCAGGGAGCTTATCTTATTGTAAGCAAGATAACACAATTACAGTCCCACTTTGTGTTCTGCTTCATGTGATTGGATGGTAAAGCTACTTGAAAGGAGCTGTGCTGAACAGAACCTGCATCAGCATTCACGGTGCTTTTAGTGCTGCACGTGCTCATGTGTTACTTTAATTCATGGCAGAGCTTTATGTTACTTAAGCAGGAATACAAACATGAGAATGTGAGCACTTACCTGAACTTCTGCATGATTATTATTTTACATTGAGAACAGAAATCCAGGCAGTCTTAAACAGCTGCAATATATGCTGAATTATTTCACTTTTCAATCTTTTATCATCATCAGTCATCTTCCAGCAGGAACCATCTTTCATGCACAGCAACAGCAATACACAAATAGGAGACTGCAAAAAAAAAAACCTTAAGCCCACAAAGGGAGAAAAGCTGTAATTCTCTCACTTCTGCTTCAGATCAGGTCCCCAATCAGAAATTATGGAAGGATGTCCAGTGTAAGAAAGAATCTTGTATAAATCTATAAAAATTTAACATTAAGTTTTTCTTGTCCTAATACAGACCCACGGGGCAGATTGCTTGCATGTCCCACATTATAGTGGTGTGCTATTACAGCTTTCAGAGAAGATAAGGAGTATTTTGCCTTCAGGTCTCAAACTCTAGAGCACCATGTACTATGATAAAAATAAAACTCCTTGTTGATTTGCTCAAATTTTCATTTAGTTCCATATCAAAACTTAAATGTTTATAATCTGAAGTACCAATATAAAATATTTCAGTATTTAAGTGCCTGCTTTGGAAATTACTCTGCAAGAAATCATTTCTTTCTTTTCTTCTATTTCAAGAAGAAATGCAGTAATATTTGAATTTTGCTTAAGATGGAAGTTTTCATTCTTGTTCAGCCTTTTTATGTAATTTAATTCTGAAGGTGTTTGGATTGAAACAATGGATATTCAAGAGACCAAATTCTTTCTGCAGTGCACAGTCCTCTGGGGGTTTTCCTTCTGATTGTTATCAGTGGTCTTTTTCAGTTACACAGTATATAAACAAAAGGAGCTATATTGTGCTAAATCAGATGTCCTTCTTATCCAATATCCTGCCTCTGACAGAGGCCCTTAGTAGATGCCTAGGAAACAGTATAAGAAGGGAGGAAGCACACAGCTTCCAACAAAACATTACCTAAAAACTTCCTGTGCCAGACCATTATAAGTATTTTACCCTTTTTATGTAATAGTTACTGTTCTGTAACAGAACTTTTGTCCTGGTTTGAGTTATTTAAAGCATTGGCTGAACAATCTTTCCAGAAACATTTTAGAAACCTGAATACAAGATATCCAGTCTCCTTGTACAAGTGCTTATTTATGATTTCAAAATACCTCATAATATATCTGTAAAATCTTGCTTCCCTTGGCAAGAAACCTTGATTTCTTTCTCCATTGCATTATATTTTTTTCATATGCCCACATCTGTTTCTCACTATAGTTTTTTTCCACTTGGCCTTGTAGAAAAGATGTACTGACTGACCTGTGGCTTGTGCTCAGAGTTAATTTTAAAAATTTGTGATCTTAGCATGATAATGTGCACCTGTGAAGAAAACATCATCAGTATTTATTCAAAAACAACTTAAATTGGAAATACCATTAGAAAAATTGGTGCAAGGGGAATAGTTTGTTTGGGGTGAGTTATCTGTGGGGATTTTTGGCAGGACCAGTAGATAAAATAGTAACCAAATGCAAATTTTGCTTGAATTCTGCAATCCTGAGATGTGTATGCTCTGTCATGTGAAATGAAATGTGCTGATCTCCTCATGTAATACTGGGATTAGAGGAAGCATGCCTAACAAAAAAAAAAAATCCAGTTTAGTATCTAGAGTTAGACAACTCTTCTTTTGAATAATATGTAGTATTTAAAGTCTTAATACAAACACATTCCGATGGCTCAGTCATTTATATTTCTTGGGGGGAAAATTCCTGTTAAATGACAACACAGAAACCCATTGTGTCTTCATCTCCTTAAGATCATAAGTTTGTAAGGCCCATGGAAATATTTAACATTCTTTTATTATTATTATTTAGTGAGAAAATAAATCTGATATAAATAACAGTACTAAAAGTATCGTTAGGATAAGAAAAGTTTTGGCGCTTAGAACTTTATTAGCATGTTTTTCCCAGGTAGCTTAAGATCAGGGAATTGGGATGAAAACCTGGTTTTTATTCTTATTTTCTGTTACTTAGCTGATATCTATTCCTTTTACTTAATTTTTATTTCACACATTTTATTGAAAAAAAAGCCCTGCAACATCACCATAAAAGTAGGTTAAAATTATTAAAGGGAACCGTCTGTAAAAGGTTTCACTAAAGCAGGAATTGTTTCTGGATTAAGTTGGAACTTCCAGGCCAGGCTGGATGGGGCTTTGAGCAACCTGATCTAGTGAAACATGCCCCTGCCTATGGAGAAGGTTGGGACTACATGATCTTTAAGGGCTCTTTTAACCTAAATCATTCCATGATTCTGTGAAAGTGCAACTGAAATGAAATGCTGAAGTCTAAGTACCTTAAAATGTGCTTTGGTATTACTCAGTCTGTAGTGCCCTCTGGTGAGAATGTAAAGAATTCTCAAATGCTTCCCTGGATGATAAAAGCCATGCAAAAATTAGGTCATTTTCCATAACTAGAAATAAGGGATAAAATGTGCATATTTTAATACTTTTAGACTTTGATATAGGCTTTCTGTGCAGAGTAATGTATAAGATTTTGGGTTTTATGACAGCAACTTTGTATTCACTGTTCACAGAGGCTATTTGAGATAAAATTGGGGTG